AGAGATAACATCTAAAGATAACTCATTAAATCCTGAATACCTTAGCAATGGAATTTAGGGAGAATCAAAAATTATGATTATTTGTGTGTTCCAGTCTTAAGGCTTGACTTGGGGCCTGAGCTTTTTTTTTTTTTCCTCCAGGCTCTAGAATACTACCACTTGAGCCACAGCTTCATTTCTCTCTCTCTCTCTCTCTCTCTCTCTCTCTCTCTCTCTCTCTCTCTCTCTGTGTGTGTGTGTGTGTGTGTGTGTGTGTGTGTGTGTGTGTGTGTGTGTGTGTGTTACTTGGAGAGAAGAGTTTCTGTCCAGTGCCCTACATCTTATACATACATTTTTTTAATTTGGGGAGGGAAGGGAAATAACAAAATGCTTAAATAAGGATACAGGTTGACCCATTGTAACAATGAGATGTAAAAGACACAACTTCGTTGCGGGGGAGTTGAGGAAGATGGGGTGGGGTATCTGAGGGAGGTGGGGAGGGAAGGGATGGCATGGGATAAACAAAGGAGGAGGTAACAACAATGCTGGATAGGAAATGTACTCATTACTTATGGAACTGTAATCCCCCCATACAGTATTTTTATAATAAAATACATATAAAAATAACCAGAGAGAAAGACAAAAAGAAAGAGCTAGAGAGAGAGAGAGAGAGAGAGAGAAAGAGACTGCAAGCTGGAGGCGTGGATGAAGCAAGCAAATGAGCAAATGCATGGCACTGAATTCAAACCTCAGTACCACCAAAAATAATATTAAGTAAAAAGGCTGGAAAGAAAATTTACAAAAATGGATCCGCAAAAACAGTCAGGTATCACTAGCTACTCAGGAGGCTAAGATCTAATAATTATGCATGGTTTAAAGCCAGTCTATGCAAGAAGACCGTGAACCTCTGATGCCCAATTAAGTACCAAAGCGGGGAGGGAACCCAGTGGGAAACAGAGATGTGACTCATATGGTACAGCAATAGCCTTGAGCAAAACAGCTCAGGGACAGTACCCAAGCCCTGAGTACAAGCTCCAAGACTGGTGTGTGTGTGTGTGTGTGTGTGTGTGTGTGTGTGTGGTGTGAGTGTGTGTGTGTGTGTGTGGTATGAGTATGTGTGTGTGTGTGTGTGTGTGTTGGGTGGGGAGGTTCCAGCAGCCAAATGGTGTAATTAAGTACTGGCTACCAAAACTGAGGCATGCTAATTTGACTCACGAGGGAAATAACAGTAGACATGAATCTAGTATGTAGAGGGAAGAAAGTCTTTGCAGCAGAACACAGAGGACTTGGAGAGCACTGTGATCATGTCTGCATTCCTCCTGTGAGAACTCGAGTATGTGATGTCCCTTTTGCTGCCTGTTTCCATAATGGAACAGTGACTTCTCAAGTACCTCCTCCCACTTTAACACTCACTCAGCAAAAATCCAGTTTTCCAAGTGCCACACCATGTGCTATGTTCTTAAAGAACACACCGTGTCAAGATATCTCCACCTACTGAGGCCATGATGCATTTCTTGGCCACAGGAACTGCAACAGGCTACATCCTTTCCCCATTAAATTGTACATGCTACAAAGGCTAGATAAACTACCTCCATTCCCCATGCCATTGTGGTTGTTGGAGAAGCAAAAGTCTCATTCAAGTCTTTCTCTTTCTGACTATGACCCAAATATAAGATGCAGAAGGTCAGGTATACGCGAAATACAGACAACACACACAAAACTGGCTCACACAACTCAAACGTCATTAGGGAAAATTAGCTGGTACAGGACATACTTCCAGCTGCCAAGTTCACTTCGAGGTATTTCTTTGCACAGTGATGACATTCTTGATGCCATCTCAATATAACAACTGACTGTGGACAAGAAATAATTAAATGGTTACCTAATTGTTGCTACATGGTTATCTTTTCAATAAGCCTTTGCTTTTCCATTATTGATTCCCTTATCTGTTATCTCTCACCAGAGCCAACAGATTAGAGGCTGAACAACTTTAGACCACAGCCTGAGAGATGGCATTACAATATGAACAAGCTCTCAAGTTAGGGCCTCCTCAAAGGTTACATTTGAAGTCTTAAAGTCCAAATCTTTCCAATATGTGCTTCTAAACTCAGAACCACAGGACCTTAGAAATAGAAAGGCATAACAAAGTACCTATGTCATTTAAAATAATTATTGTTAGTATAAAGGTGGTGTGCAGAGGGGCTATAATTATTTTAGTTGGGAAAAGAGTACATTTCTTTTTAGCAATATCACTCCCTGTCTCTCACCTTCTCCCAGTTTTTCCTTCCCATTCCCATCCAAAACTTGTATAGTTCATTTGCCACATACGGTCTAGTGAGTACCACCACTGCGTTGTTCCCCTGTGTCAAAAATACCTATTTCTTACCTCACCAGAATTACTCCATCATTAACTTCACAGCAGTATTGAGAACTAGTCTGAGACCAGCTGATTCCAGGCTTAGTAGACTTAATTAGTAAAGTCTGCTCTAGCAATGGGAGGGGAGAGATGGATTAATAATGTCTGTCTTGACCACAGGAGAGGAAACACCATTCTAATACATGTTTGCCTTTCCTCCTTTGGAATCTAAACTAACCTCACAAAGGAGTAATCCAAGCCCAGAATAGTTAAACCACTTTCCTAAGGTCACTGAGGGAGTTTAGGGCAGGAAAGAAGACCAGAAGCCAGGCCTCTCTCCCCAGACGATCATCAGTGGGGCTCCTTGGTAGAAGCAAGCCAAGAAAAACAACAACACAAGGAGATTTGCTTGGCTAAATCAACAGCCCTTCCCAAGTGACATCAGATTTCACCACACTAAGCAGGCAGGGATTAGCAATCTAAGGCTACCAGCCCCTATGAAGAAAATTACAGAAATCTTTCCAGGCTACATTTCCAAGCTCAGTGGTAGAGCGCTTGCCTTGCAAGCCTGAGGCCCTGGGTTCGATTCCTCAGCATCACATAAGCAAAAAGAAAAAAGCTGGAAGTGGTGCTGTGGCTCAAGTGGTAGAGTGCTAGTCTTGAGCTGAAGAGCTGAGGGACAGCGCCCAGGCACAGAGTTCAAGCCCCACGACCGGACCCCCCCCCCAAAAAAAAAGAGCTCTTTTAGACCTGGTCACAGCCGTTCCACAGGAGATGTGCACTTGGACAGGACACACCCCCTTTACCTGGGGCTTTGCCAATATAGAACCCCTGAACCTAGGGATGCTGTCAGGGACAATACCCCAGGAAAAAGCAGTAGCCCTGTATCCACTCACTGATCACATCACAGAATGCTGGCAAGTCAATCAAGAGATGGAGTTGGTGGATGATAAGCACATACAGCAAGTTAATGACAAAGTCAAGCACAGCCCTTGCCTCTTCTCCCTGATACTGGTACAGGATAGGAATTGAAGGAGATTTCAAGAAAGAAAAACATACAAGACACAGAATTTAAGGGGGAAAAGGCTAGGCTGGCTATCAGGGTTTGAACTCAGGGTTTAGGAAAGGACCTTGCTAACTTTCCTCAGTTTCTGAACAGTTAAGATGTACCAGAAAGATCAAGCCAACTCCTCTTGGATGGTTTGCAATTAACTAGGGTAACTGCTAAGCTCCAATTGATCCGCCCTGTGGCAAAGAACTGTCTGCACTCAAGATACCAGAACAGCCAGGCAGCAGCCTGACACTGAGGAGAAAGGAAAACCCATCAACCTCAAAAAGTCAGCCTCTTCCCTTGAGGGCAACCAACAGTCAGTTCTGACCCTGATATGAACATTACCCACTTCCCATGGGGCCACAAAAATCCCTTAAGCAAATCTGAAATGTCACAATATACAAAGCAATTCAAGCATGCATAGATTTGCCAGGAGGTGAGAGAGGTAGAGTGATGTGATTGTGCAGGAAAATGTAAATCCAAGCCAGGAGCTGGTAACTCACACCTGTAATTCTAGCTACTCAGGAAGCTGAGATCTAAGAATCCTAGTTCTAAGCCAGCCCACCCAGGAAAGTCTGTAGGACTCTTATCTTTAATGAACCACCAAAAAGCCAGAAGTGGAGCTGTGGATTAGGTGGTAGAATGCCAGTCATGAGTGAAAAACAACTAAAGGACTACACCCAGGGCCTGAGTTCAAGAGCTACGATCTGAGCATGCACACACATGCACATGAAGAAAAATGATCATTTATTCCATATGCAGGTACACATACGTGAGACATGAGTGAGTTTCAAAGAGGCAAAAACAATTATCACAGTTTGGGCTACAAGAAATAGCACGTCCTATCAGAAAGAAGTAGAGAAGGAAGGTATGTGGCATTCTGCCCTCAGGAGATAGCGCTCTGGGAGATTTTGGGGGATCCCTCTACCTGGACACCTCTATACTCCTGGAGGGTCAAGGGTGGCAAGTTCCTCAAGAACCAGAAATTGACCTTTCACCCCATCCAAGGGACCGGAAACTCCAAGAGCATCTTTGCACTCACTCCCCAGGGAATTCACAGGATCTGAGACAGAAATAGGATAGGGAAAGAATAGGAAAAAGGGGCAGGGAGTTCCAGGGGTCCCTGTGCAAATGGCAAAACATGAAAGGGACTGACCTGAGTAAAAACAGCAGGATCAGCAGGTGGGGGTGAGGGAGGGGAGCAGAAGTGATGGGGGAACCGGTCCTACAGAAAGCATCACACCCTGGGGATACAGGCTTTTGCAAACAGGGTACTACCCAGAAAGAGAACAAGGTCAGAGGCCAGGAGAGGGCAACAGAAAGGCAGACAAATTGTAAAGTATGGAAAATAGAAATAAGAGTTTCATAATGGGCACTAAGGGCCCTGGGTTCTAATTCTGACTCTGCCGAGTGGACAAATCCCTGTCCTCGGAGCCTCAATTTACCCCATCTGGGGGGGGGGGGGGGAATGGAAAAAAGTACAGACTCTTCAGGGGCTGCCTCTGAGGACCCGGACAGGAGGAGGAGGAGAGAGAAGGAGCTGAAGGTTTGAAGTGAAACCAGATGGGGGGGAGGGGGGAGCATCCCTAGCCCCACCACACCCAAGGCACTCACCTGTCCCACCATGGGGACCAGCCGCTCCCGACCTCCCAGGCATGCCGTCGGGCTGCCGCTCGCAGTACAGAGCCCACAGCCCCATGTTGGGCAGGAAGACCAGGGCCACCAGTACCAGAGCGACCGCCTGCAGAAGCCGCTTCTCCTTATGCCTCATCGGGGACAGTCAGCCGTGCCCCGCCGGTTCCACCCGCTCCAGGCTCCGTGTCCGTCCACGTGAACACCGGCGGCCTCGGCAGCAGCTGTGCAAGCACCAGCGGCTGCAGCACCGGCCCGCCATTCGCCAACCAGGGAACCGGATGCTACCACTGAGTCACAGCCGTGGGGGGGGGGGGTCTTCTCCGCCAACACCGATGTCAGGCACGGTGGAGCCACCAGGCCCGCAACACCCTGTTACAGACTTTCTAGCAAACACCTGTAGACTTCGACCTCCGTCTTCTCCTAAAGGGTTTCAGTCTACCCCCGGGGCGACCCTGACATCCGATGTTAGGTCTCCCCCCTCCTGAGTCGCAATGGTGCATCCCGTTCTGCCCCGGCTCCCCTACCTGGAGGAGCAGTAACAAAATGCTGGAGTTGGGTTGTTGGGCTCTGACTTGTGCACACTGAGCGGTGGTGCACCGGGTGCATTTTGGTGCGGTTCCAGTGCGCCCAAGGATCTGATCCTGGCCTCAAGTCTGCTGGGCGAGATTTGAGCTCCTCCTGTTTTGCTTCTAGTGCTGGAACCCTACCAATCCACAGCAGGGGTTCGGTGCTCTGCACTTGCCTTGGCCCAGGACTGAAAACACCAAGACCTGCTTTGACGCCGGGATCTTAGTGTCCTCAGCCATGGAATGTGGTCCACGCTGTGATCCGTGTGCACTGTTCCACGAACCCTGGGTTTCTTCCTATCAAAGACCCCAGATGTTGAGTGGGTGTATGCTCATGTTTAGAACTGAGTTCAATCAGTGCCCTCTGCCCTGTGACACCTGCCTGCTCTTCCTAAGTGATGGGGAGGTGACCTGAACCTGTACTTGGGCCCCTTCCACACGCAGGCCCAGTACCACGCATCCTCTGGACACTCAGCCCGTGCATGGAGCCCTTCCCCAAACTTTCGGTTCAGAGTTTGTCTCCATTCAGCCCTATTTGGCAAAGCATCAGCTGGCACCCATGTGCCAGACCATGTACCAGGCTCCAGGAGGATGTGCAGGCAGCCCCAAGCCCTGGGAGTTAAAATGACTGGGCTGACGGGAGGCTGGGATGTAGCTCAGTGGCAAAGCACTTGCCTAGCAAGTGCAACGTCCTGGGTTCAATCCCCAGTACCAAAAAAGAAAAGACAAAAAAATAATAATAATAATAAAATGACTGGGCTGAAATACTAAACAAACATGCAGTCAACCAAGACTGCTAATGGGTGCATCACAATGGTGAGGGATCTGAAGAAAGACTTCCTGGACCACAGAGAATCTGGACTCCTTGCTCCAGTGCTCATCCCTTAATTGCTTCTTCCCTGATACCCTCTTCTCTGCCACACTCCACACATGCCCTCTTGATGTTCTGCTTTTCCAGCTCGGCCACTGACCCTAGTGACTTACCACCCCCAACTCTAGACCAGTTTGTCAGCTTTGTCTGCCCAGGCTGACTTTGAACAGGGATCTTCAGATCTCAGCCTCCTGAGTAGCTAGGATTACACTCAGGAGCCATTAAGCATCCAGGTTCACCCAAAGGTTTAGATAGAGGAAGAAGTTTCTAGAGAAGAGATGAGCAAATTTGCAAAAGCCCTGCTTCATTTGTCAACTTGTTGGATATTTATTTGTTTGTTTGTTTGTTTAGGAAAACAGCAAGATCAGTGTAACTAAGAGAAAAGCAAAAGCTGTAAGTCGGTCACACTGGCTGTAAGGATTCTCATGGATAATTAATGTGAAGGAAAGCCACAGGTGAGTCCCCACAGTTTACCTGGGTTTCTTATGCAAGCATCCCTCTGGCTGTTCTGTTAGAGCAGTAATGAAGGATGGTAATTATCTCAGAAGGGCCACTTGGAACACTGTGTATATCGGGATGGGAAGGTGTGATTTGACGGTGTTCGGTAGCAGTTGCTTACTTCTCAGCAGCTAGCCATGAAGAATGGAAATGGAGAGAGAGAGAGAGAGAGAAAGCACACATGGAACATGACTTCAATCAAAGTCATTGATCTACCAGGCAGTTTCTGACCCTGCTAAGTGCCACGCCTACTCCGGTGGAGTCTGCTTAGCATGGGAAACCTGCTTTCAGATCTGAGAATGGGACTTCAAAGAGGCCTACCTCCTGGAAAGGCTGACAAGCCCCTGGGAAAGATGTGTTTCTGTTCCTGTTTTTCTTTTCTTCACTGTATAGGAGTGCCTATTAATCTTTTACTGTGCCTGCTGCTTGTTGTACTTACTCATGCTCAACGTTCCCTTATTCAAGGCTCTTTCTTGGAAGTGTTGATTACTCCAACATCTGATGAGTGTCTTGAGAATATGACTAACTCACCAGAGTTAAGTGCTACCCTGAAAGCCCCTTTTATGGAGGCTAGTAGACAAGTCATAAGTAAATATAAAAGTATTGGGGGTTTCATGACGTCACTTCAGCAGAAGAAATTGTTTGTAAGAGATTTACAAAAAGCTGTAGGCACAGCTAGAGCAGAAAGAGTGTATGGTTACTGGAGACTTTCCTTTAATCCTAAAGCATATACAATAGGCCCATATAGATATCCTGTAGATAAGAAAGATGTAGAGAGATATTTAGGCCAAAAGCTAAATAAGATTCCTAAAAGGTTGGTAGATAAAAGGTGGCAATGGCTTATCAGAGGAAAATGGTGGGATCCTCCATTATCTAGAGGACCCCAAAGACTTCCCCCAGATCCATAGCCTTTTACAGGTGCATATGATTAGGATGGCAACCGTTGGGTAAACTATTTAGGAAAAAAGAACTTCCTATTACTCTCTTTCATTTACTGAGAGACTTGCCAGATCTAGGCCTCCTTGGTGCTTACTATTAAAGAAGGAACAAAAAAGATCTTATGAGACAGTTAAGGCCTCTATAGAGAAGAGTAAACAATTATGTGAAAGGGTTACAGAAAAGACACTATGAGCTGAAATTTGATATATGGCCAGATTTAACTAAGTATACTGAATATCATGATTTTTGGCCACAAATTGGGGACCCTCTAAAGAATGGCAAAGGAGCGCAATTGCTTAAAAAAGATTTAAAACGTATAAAGTACAAAACTAAACAAAAGTAACTATAATGTACTAGAGTTCATGCCTTTCTGTCCAGCGCCTTGCCCATATGCTCTGGTTAATGGTTAATAGGTGATAAACATCGAACCAATTGTATTTCTTAAAAATAGAGGTAAAGCCAAAAACAAGTGTCTATCGTCATAGCTTGTCATCCAAAAACCAAGACCAGGCAGCCAGCTGGTGACCACCCAATAACAAAGCCTTGCAGCAAGATTGTGTAAACTTTTGCCCTTCCTCATGGAGACTTTTGCTATAAAAGCTTGTTATCCTCTGCAATAAATCGCACTCAGCATTCACTCCTCTTGTGTGTGAGTTGTGGGTTTGCCATCTCCCCACCTATTCCAGTTCCTCCACTAGGTGTCCCAACAGAGCCGGTCCGCAGCTTTAACCATGCCATTGACTATATAGGAATAGAGATAGAGAGATAATTTGATTAGGTTACATCATTTTGTGTGTGTGAAGCCCAATTATATGATAAGGATTATATAAAAAGATAATGGTAAGGCCAGAATTGGTTTTAGTTTCTTGAATTTGTGTGTAGAATCATATGACAGAATCACGTAATAACCTGTCTCTGAATTTAATTTTCTTGGGTTTTGGTGACAAGTTTTGCATATTGTCTTACAGAGATTCGACCTCATAAATCTTTGGTTTGTCAAACTCTGTACTAAGCATAAAATTGATTTTTGTCTTTCATCTTGATAAACATAATGGTTAAAAATAGTTTAGAGAACAAAGAAATAATCTTATAAATGTGTTATAAACAATCGCATGAAAGAAAAAAAATATTTGAATACATATCTTAGGGTTCATTTCCCTAACATCACCTCCCCCCCACAGTATAACCCCTGCTTTCACTGTATTTGATGTTGGTATAATTTGTGGAGGGGAAGGGGAAAAACAAATTGTTTAAATAGGGATACAGGTGGACCCATTGCAACAATGAGATGTACAAGTCGTTATGTCAAAAATGAACTTTACAACTTTGGTGGGGGGGTGGGGATGATTGGGTGGGGGGGGGCTGGGGGAAGTATGGGAAAGGGATGGGAAGGGGAAACAAAGGAGGAGGCTACAATGCTTGATAAGAAATATACTCATTTTCTTGCCCATGTAATTGTAACCCCTCTGTACAGTATTTTCACAATAATAATAAAAAAGAATAGTTTAGAGAGAAAAAGGGAAGGGGTGACATCGTACAGAAGGAAATGTACTTTCAAATGCAAATCAAAACAACATTGAGATACCACCTCACCCCAGTTAGAATGGCTAAAATCAAGAACTCTAATAACAACAGATGCTGGAGGGGATGTGGACAGAAGGGAACCTTGCTTCATTGTTGGTGGGAGTGTAAACTTGTTCAACCACTTTGGAAAGTAGTATGGAGGTTCTTCAAAAGACTCCACATAGAGCTCCCCTATGACCCAGCAGTCCCACTTTTGGGCATTTACCCAAATGTTTACAAACAAGACCACACTAAAGCTACCAGCACAACTATGTTTATTGCAGCATTATTTACCATAGCTAAGATCTAGAACCAACCCAGATGCCCCTCAGTAGATGAATGGATCAAGAAAATGTGGTATATATACACAATGGAATTCTATGCCTCCATCAGAAAGAATGACATTGCCCCATTTGTTAGGAAATGGAAAGACTTGGAAAAAATTATATTAAGTGAAGTAAGCCAAGCCCAAAGAAACATAGGCCCCATGATTTCCCTTATTTGCAATATCTAGTATATGTATGAGTCAAGCAGAAAAGGTCAGATAAGGTGATGTTAGGAAAATGAACCCTAAGATATGTATTTTAAATGTTTTTTTTTCTTTTATGCATTTGTTTCTAACGCAATTATAAGATTATTTCTTTGTTGCTTTGTATGTCCCTCCCCCACAGTATAACCCCTGCTTTCACTGTATTTGATGTCGGTATAATTTGTGGAGGGGAAGGGGAAAAACAAGTCGTTTAAATAAGGATACAGGTGGACCTGTTGCAACAATGAG